GGGAGGCGGGGAGGAGGCGTAAATTTTTTTTTTTATAAAAAAAACAAAAATATAAAAAAATATAAAAAAAGAGAAAAAAAAAGATATCAGGGTCAGCTCTATCATTTGCCTTCGGCATTGAAGGGCAGGTGAGGGTGGATGAGGGGGTTGGGCTGAGAGGCTATCTCTTCCCAGTCTAAGCAGTTAATAGGCGTGAGTATGGGGACAGCTCTCCCAAGCTCACAACTTCGGAGCTGGCTCACCCACTTCTCTGCCAACAAGGTTGACTCTATTGTCCTGCCCAGGCGAGATGCAAGATCCACTTGAGAGGAAAAAAAAATTTAAAAATTTATTTATTTATTCGATGTATGTGAGTGTTTTGCCTGCATATATGTAAGTCTGCCACATTCGTGCCTGTTGTCTGAGACCTCAGGGGATCATCAAATTTCCTGAAGTGGAGATAAGGATGGTTGTAAATCACCATGTAGGTATGGGGAACTGAAACCAGGTCCTCTTAACTGATAAGCCATCTATCCAGCCCAGAAAAAAAGTTTGTAATATATATATATATATATATATATATATATATATATATATACCATATTACATTAAGAGGTAATTTCAAATGACCCAAGTCAACATTAAAATTGCCATAGAACATGGGGGCAGTGGGTAGAGCAGCCTACTCCCAGACCTGATGTCCCTAGTTTACTCTCCAAGATCCACATGGTGGAAGAAGAGAACTGACTAATTCCTGCACTCTCTCTGGCTTTCACATGTTGGCTCTTGACACTCATATGTCCCCTCCACAAATAAATAAAAATGTAACAAAATATTAAAAACTACCATAGAACAAAGAATTTTAGTAAGGTGTTGAGGTACAAAGTAAACACACGGAAATAAGTTCTGATACACAAATAGTTACCGGCTAGAATACACAATGAAAGAAAGGATTGTTTTTGCTATAACAAATGCCTAGAAATAAAGCCTTCGTGAAATGTACACTATGTATAAGACACAAAACTTAAAACACCCAGTAAAACAGGAACTAATGGAATCCTATGTTCTTGCTTCTATAGACCTGGATGGAGGTGGGTGGTCTTTGGACTTCCCACAGGGCAGGGACCCTGATTGATCTTTGGGCTGACGAGGGGGGGGGATTTTTTGGGGGGGGGGGGAGGGAAAGGGGAGGCAGTGGCGGGGAAGAGACAGAAATCTTCAATAAATAAATAAATTAATTAAAAAAAGACTATTTGACACTATGAGCATGCTAACTGTCCTGAGGAACTTGTTCATTTAACACACGATTACAGAAATATCAAATTAATATATATATAAGAAATATGGACACAGTCAAAGATTATTATGAAGTTGAATGGTGCCTAGAAAAAGACCGTAAAACTAAACAGGCTCTCTCCTAACGATAGTATAGCCTCACAATTTAAAACTATTCATAGGGGGCTGGAGAGATGGCTCAGTGGTTAAGAGCACTGGCTGCTCTTCCAGAGGTCCTGAGTTTAATTCCCAGCCACCACATGGTGGCTCACAACCATCTGTAATGAGATCTGGTGCTCTCTTTTGGTGTGTGGGCAAACATGGAGGGAGAATGTTGTATACATAATAAATAAATAAATCTTAAAAAATAAAACTATGCATAAATATATACCCATAGACTGGACAGTCCAGGACAACAAGTCTATATAATATAATACTTTAGTATGAATTCAGTGTCATTGAAATGACAATTTCAAATCAGAGGAAAATTCAGTCGCTGATATTTAGAAAACAAGATAGCTATTTGGAAAAACAACAAAAACAAAACAAAAAATAAAAAAGCATGTTGCCACATCTCAAATCATAAACAGGATAAACTCCAAACATATCAGAGATTTTACTGTCAGAACCACCATGATCGCCAGATGAAAACGGGAGGATAACATCCTTGAACACCTTAGAGTATGGCAAGTTTCTTAAGTGTGTGAAAGAAAAGATGGAGTCATTACAGTGAAAATATCTGCACGGCGGAAATGTATAAGAATATTACAAAAGTTGGGAGGATCTCTCCCATCTGTATCATAAAAGCTTTAATCTTCAATATATAAACAGATACTAGAAATAAAAGGAAAATAAGCAAGAATAAGAAGAAAACCCCTTAAGAATCTGAGCATGAAATTCAAAGAAAGGGAAAAAACAAAAGAAATATATTTAAATATGATTTATATTTGGGGAAATATACACTTCAGAAGACTGACTGTAGTCCTAACACTTAATAGGTACCCATTTGTCAAACTTTCTAAACATTCACCAAATATTCTGTTGCTAAATTGTCAAGGAAACATTGCTCTCCGTACATTGCTGATGAGAGTATGAACTGGTATAATACATACAGAGGGTAATTTGGCAATATAAAATTGTACCCTTTGATTCAGCAATCCTCCTTGAGAGTCTGGTGTGGAGCATGCCTCTTCATGGGCTGCAGTTTGTACCTCGCCCTCTTAGACCTGCTGGTACTTGAATCAGCAACGAAAGGGGAGGAGCCTGGCTGTGAGCAGGCCTGCCAGTGTTTTGTAAGGAGTCTATATTGCTGCCTTTATTGGAATATACCCAAGTGTCTCCATCTGAGTTTTCTGAGTCCTGCTGTGCCCAGGTTGGTGTCCTGAGTTTTCCAGAGAATTAACATTTTACCACATCTTAATCACTCGCTTTGTGCACCCTGCTTTGTTTCTCAGAAATTTCAGGCTTTACAATCACACGTGAAAAGAGATTATTATTATTTAATGTGACAGGCATAGGAGCTTCCTGGCCCTTTACCTGGATCTTGTGTTGGACTTTCCAAGTCCAATACTCATGGTTTTCTTTTTGCCACATTCTCCAGCACAGTCACGGCCTTGCCATTTGGGAGCTGTCTACCCAGAGAGCACAAGAATGCAGATGCTGCAGATGTGCTAGCTTTGAGGTGACTGGGAGGGGGCGTGAAGGCTGCTTCCCTTAAAATGGGGGAATATACCCTAAAGTAATGGCCATTAATTTGCACACTATCTTCAGCAAATAAAATACTCAGGAGTCAGGAAGTTTTTGAGAATGATTTTTTGCTGACAATATTTCCAAGAGACCCACTGAAAATCTATGCTTCCCATCCACATAGGATTAGAGTTTGTGGGCTTGGAAGTCTTGCTTCGCAGGCTCAAGGACACTACCAAAAAGCGACACAAGAGTGCTAAAACTTCTATGGCTTCCACCTAGTTATTTTCTGTTCCTGGTCTCAGAAGATCAGGCAGCAAAGGGAAAGTTCCCTTTTGATATGAATATTTGACCATGTTTATCATGTGGAAAAGGAGCTATGAGGAATATGTACCACATTCTTGGGACCACTGAGCTAACCCCTGTGACTTTTGAAGCAGTATCTTGTAGCACAAATTCTAATTGGTTTTATAATAAAAACCCAGAGTCAGATATAGGGATTAAGGCTGGAAGATCAGAGAAACAGAGCAGCCAAGTACTAGAAAGTTTTTACCTCTACCAATATTCAGACTGAAGGGTGATCCTGTCTCTATGAATCCTCAGACTGAATGCTGTTTCTGTGAAACCTCAGACTCATGCTCAGACTGAATCCTCAAACTGCATCCAAGCTCCTGTCTCCTCCTGCCTTAAATTCCTCTGTCCACCCAACCGTATCACTCCTGCCCTCACCACCCTAGTGCTTGGGTTAAAGGCATGTATGTGATGAGTTCTGTTTTCTCTTTTAGACAGACTCAATCTCGTGTAGCCCAGGGTAGACCTGAACTCACTAAGATCTGTCTGCCTCTATCTCCTGAGTGCTGGGATTAAAGGTGTGTGCCACCATTGCCTGGCCTCTATGGCTAACTAGTGTCTTAGCTCTGCATTCTGATCTTCAGGCAAGCTGTATTTGTTAGATTACAAACAAAATATTACTACAGTATCTACTGTACCTGGGCAAGTACAATTGACATTGCTTATAAGAGACTAGAAATAGTCTTGGATCCCTGAGAGATGAAGAACTGAGAATGGTTTATACTTACACGTAACTTCAGAGTGGAAGACATCCATAGTTGGCTTCATTAAAACTCTTTGCAAGTTTCTCCAGAAATTTCAACCAATCCGAGTCATGGGGAAGCTGTGAGAAAATGGAGTGGACCCACTGAGAGCGTCAGGCAAAACTGGATGGTTTAAGGGGTAGGCTACCCTGAAAGCATTCTCTCCCTTTCCCAGCTCTCTGCACAAGTTGATGGACTCATCACTACCATCACCTCACTGGTGGACTTTGCCTTTCATTTGTTGGATCTTCTTTACCTGAAGGGGTAGTTCAGATTTTCCCACAACCTTCCTTGTGAGGACCTATGGTAATGACTGTCTGGTGTAGGATGAAGACAGTACAGTTTCCATATTTTTGCGTGAGACAGGCTCTGTAGTTCAGTCTGTAGCAAACAGGATCAGAGAGAAAGGATACTTTGTAATTGCCTTGTGTATTGTGTAATGGATGAGAGCATTGAGTCCATTGCTCTCTCCCAGGTTTCATACTTTCCTGTGGGTTCCAACTGAAAGTAGCTCCTCCAAATATCAGGTGTTCAAGTGTCTCCACCTCAGTCTTTGTATCTTAAAAATGGAGCAGAGTCGTGTAGCTTTCATGAGGAATGTCTCTTCTGATCTACACATGCATATCCATTCTTTACGTATGCATGTGATTGTCCTTTTCAAGCCTGTATCAAAACCGAACTCTTGCTGTCTTGTGAGTCTCATTCTAACACAACTATCTCACTGTTTTCTGTCTGTTGACTTTGTGTCTGTATGTGTCATCTTCATCTCCCAGTTGCTTTGGTCAACATCTTTGGCAGTCAATGTCTGAAACTCAGCAACTGGGCTGCCACATCCTTTAGCATAGAGCTAAGACATTTGCAGATGACATGCTTCTGGATTGTGGTTTCATAGGAAACAAAGTTGCTCCTTACTTCTATTGGAGGTCAGATTGTGGCACAAAGGTTTGAAAACTGAAGGGTTAGAATTGCAGCTGTCCCGCTCCCAGGAAAATCTGTAATTCTGCTGTCCGGCACCACCTCCACAGCTCCGGTCTGGTGCAAGCCACTGTTATCACACGGCTGTATTATTACAATTGCCTCCAAACTGGTTCTTCAGCTTCTACCGTCCTTTTACCTTTAGTCTGTTTTCAGCACAGCAGTCAGTGGGATCCACTAGGAATACAAACTGTATCGTGTTGCAGCTCTTTCGTAACTCTGTTTGCTTTCCACCTGGAGAGTGGAGCTCAAGTCTGAGGGTGAGAGGAAATGCTTCAAATCTGAAGTCATCTGCCTGCGTGCATTGGTTCCTCCTCTCAGCTTTGGAAGAGAACAATAATTTGAAGTTTTTCCCTGGCAGTGTCATGCCTGCGTACAATGTCTCGATTATACCTAACCCAAATCCTTCTCATATCCTACTTGTCTGTTTGGCTTCCTTAATGGTCCTTGAGGGCTTCAGGCATCTTTCTCTGATCCTTGCTCTTGGTAATTGGACTTCTCTAGATAGTGTCCTGGTTTACTCCTTTACTTCTTCCAGGCCTTTCCCGTGTTGCTCATCTAAATCACAGACCTAAATACTGCCAACCTGCTTTTTCCTGAAGTTACTAATATCTAATGTATTTATTTTTATCATCTACAGTTTTAGTTCTTTCACTACAATACAAGCTCCAAAATTTTGGAAATTTGTGCCTGTCCCCTTCCCTACTGGCACATGGTAGGCACTCAATATATATTATCTGAATGCATTTATTAATATTATAATAAATGGGACTAATTTTAGTCACACAAAATTTTTCTTCCTACACCAGTGAGAATGATCATTGGTAGATAGATCATCAGCTGACATTATCTTTCTTTTTCTTTGGTTTTTCAAGATAGGGTTTCTCTGTCTTGCCCTAGCTGTCCTGGAACTAGCTCTGTGGACCAGACTGACCTCAAACTCACAGTCTACCAGATGGGAAGTAGGGACAGCTGTTGCATTCACGATTTCGGGACTGGCTCACCCACATCTCCGCTAACAGAGTTGGCTCTGGTGTGCTGACTGGCAGGGTGCAAGGCTTGCTCTCCCGAGTGTTGCAGTTGGTGGGGATCAGCTCATTTTTGTGACTGCAGAGCCAGCTCTCCCACCTGTTCCAGGCACTGGTGGGTGGGGGCAGTGGGAGAGGGGAAGGCTTCCTTCCCCCATCCATGCTGCCACAAGACACAGAGAAGCGACAGCAGCTCTTCCATTCTCACATCATCCGGCATGGCTCACCCACACCTAAGCTAACAGGATTGGCTCTATTGTGCCATGCTGGTGAGATACAGGGCCTGCTCTCCTGAGAGTTGCAGCTGCTGGGGGTCAGAGCTTCCGCTCTTATGACCCAAGGCCAGCTCTTCCACCTACCCCAGATGTTGATGGGGGGCTGGCAAAGGTAGCTCCCCTGCATCCATGCCACCACAGAACAGATGGGTGATGGGGACAGTTCTCCCAAGCTCACGATTTGGGGGCTGACTTACCCACACCTGCACTAGCAGGGTTGGCTCTGGTGTGCTGCCCTGGTGAGGTGCAGGGCCTGCTCTCCTGAGGGCTGCAGCTGGTGGGGGTCAGGGACAGCTCTCCTGCTCTTATGACCACAGAACCATCTCTCCCACTTGCCTCTGGAATTGATGGGGTGGGGGATGGGGGTGGTGTTTGTTTTTTGAGACAAAATTTCTCTGTATAACAGCACAGCTCTGGCTGTCCTGGACCTCACTTTGCAAACCAGGCTGGCTTGGAACTCATACAGATCTGCGTACTTCTGCCTCCAAACAAGTGGGATTAAAGGCATTCACCACCATTGCCTGGCTCCTCTCACTTTTTTAAACAAGAATTTATTGGGGCTTGGGAAATAGCTCAGCTGATGACGTACTTGTGTGTGTGCAAAGTGCTGTGCTCAGTCCTTAGCACTGCATCAACGTTGTGGCGCTATGTGTCTGTAACACTCACACTCAGGAGGTATGTGCAGAGGCAGGAGGCCCAGAAGTTCAAGATTACTCTGGGCTCTATAGTAAGTTTGAGGTGGTGAAGAGATATGTGAGACCCTTTCAAAAATCCCAGTCAAATTAATTTTAAAAGAATGTATCAAACATATAGATATGGTGATCTAGACATGCATCTGTCTACTGAGAGCAGGGTGGAAGCAGGGTGCAAGCACTCAAGAAACTTTCCATTCTGTATGGAATGTTTTTTTTTTGCTTCCTGTATGTAAGAACTAGATAGAGGAATGCAAGACAACGAAGAACTAAAGTGACCATAAGTCAAGTTCCAATAGCATTTAGCACTCGGAGAACTCTAAAATGAAAATTATTCGGGTACAGCCATTGCCTGGCATAATCTATTTATAGCACATTGCTGCTAATTTTGTTTGTTCAGATACTGTATACCGGAGAATTTCCATCTCTTCTTATGACATTTTATCTGACTTGACATTTCCTATGGCCATCGTAGTATTTTCTGCCTTAATGCTAATGGTTTGCCTCACTGGCTCCTCTTGTATGAATCACTCAGATGAAAATGGGCATTCTGCAGATGTAGGAAGCCATGCGAACAGCCCCTAAGTGGGAGGGGAGATAAACACTTGAAGTCAGAGCAGATGCATGAGGCAGACAGTGAGCAGGGTGTGTCTTCTGCAACTTCTCCTGGGGTTGGCTTCTGTTACACGACTTGCAATGAAGCAAAGTTTTAATGGTCTGGGTGAAAGGCCGTAGTATCAGATGAAAGATTTGACAGTGGGTTTTAGCAGTGAGTGGTTTGAATGCATTTTGAACTTTAGTAAGCTGAGCTCACTGACACAATTTTCAACTATAAATAAGACTTACTCTTTTTGATAATGATGGAATCAAGTCTAAGGATGCAAGGATTGTGATTGGAGGGCCAATTGTTTCTGAGTATTATAATTTTTATTTCTCATCCTGTGAATGAAATGACTCTAGAAGCGACTGAATAAACTAGTTATGATAAAATATTTACATGACACTGATAATCACTATTTTGCATATGGTGATGATTTAAAAAATGCAAAGTTATTTCTGTGCCAAAAGATTATTGTACCTTTTGTATCAGAATAAAAGTGAATAAAAGTGTGTGTGTGTGTGCATGTTGTTGTGTGTGGTACATATTTACATGTGCAAGTAGAGGCCAGAGACTGATGTTTAGTGTCTCTCTTGATCACTGTCCACCTTATATTGAGGTAGAATCTCTCATTTGAACACAGAGATCACTGATTCATGTAGTTTAAGTGTCCAGCTTGCTCTGGAGGTCCCCTATCTCCAATTCCCCAGTGGCAGGATTGTAGGAAGGTCCGCACCTGTCTGGTATTTATGTGAGTACAGGGATTTGAACTTTGGTCCTCACACTTGCATGGCAAGTACCTTACCTACTGGGGTATGTTGCCCACTCAAATGAAGGAGAGATTGCTTTCTGTCTCTAGGGATAAGTGGTTTAGAACTAAAATTTGAGGTTAATGGCTCTCTGCTCTGCTAACAAACTCTTGGGGTCTTATGATTGAGTCACCACTAAAGGCAGGTTCCATCTATTCCTGATGCAGAAAGACCACACTATGTGCTATATCATGGCAGTCTTATCAACAATGGACTAGGAATATAATGAAGATCTCACAAAAGAGTGAAACTAAAAAGACATAACCCCAAGAATTACTCAGGAGTTTGTGGAGATGGTGGTGCAAACACATCTTGTGTACTGCTAGTAATACATTAGTCCAACAACATAATTATATAGGTACATAATACTTTGCAGTGAAAAGCAGTGACTATGCTGCTGCTTTGTGGGTTTACCGTGCTTTATGTTTTACTGTTACTTTAGAGTATACTACTGTATATAAACTGAAACCCTACAGTAAGATGATATTCACATTCTACCAGCAACAGCCCCACGCATCTTCATTCGCCACACTTCCTGATTGCATCACTTGGCTCTGGGGCGTGACCTCCTGCTCCATGCAGGTTCGGGTGAATGTACTTTGGGAGGTGCGATCTGGGTGAAACTGCTGAGTGACTCATTTCTCAGAAAATGTCTCTGTTGTTAAGCAATGCATGACTGTACTGTCCCTAATGGTGGGAAGTTTCAGAGGGGGAAGAAAAATAGGCAGTCTTAAAATGTATGGTTAGAAGGAATCTGGATTCCTAGCCACTCTGCAGTATATTTAAAAATTCTACAAGAAACTGGGGGGAAGAGCTGACTTTTTCCAGTTAGACTCAGTGCCACGCATATAGGTGAACACTAACATTCTTTTATGGTCACTGAGTTTTATTAATCTACTATTGTTATTATTTTAGCTGTTTTCTAAAAGTCATCCTTAACCGTCAGAACTGAGACTAGACTTCAGGGCCTTAACAGAAAATGTTGTAATATATATATTTGACTTTTTGTCAGAAAGTCCCACTGTGCAACCCATGCTGGCCTCTGTTGTGGGAATTCCTTCAACCAATAGGTACCACTAGGACATGGTCTGAGGCACTGTAAGCACAGACACATAGTGTGATCGCTGTCTTGGTTGGTGGTCAGAGTTTGGTTCGCGGCTTCTAGCACCCACAGAGGACCGAGGCTCTTTAATCTTATTGTGAGATTTTTTTTCCAAATAAATAAATATTTACTATCCTTTATTCCAGGCTCTCCTTAATTGCGCCTACATTTTGGCACCCAGTGTGGAGCTCAAACCCATGACCCTGAGATTACGAGTCTCACGCTCTACTGACTGAGCT